ACCCATGTGGGTGCCTGCACTAATGTGTACATTACTGATGCAATATATATATATATATAAGTAAAATAAATAAAAAACAACAAAAACCAAAACAAAATACCTCATTAAAAAAAAACATAGGTGATGGCAAAATCTGGGAAGTTGAGCAGGGAACCTGGGGGCTCTGGCCAAGCCTAAGCTTGAATTGGTTTGATGATCTGGGGAGTGAGGAAGACAGTTGGAACCCAGGACCCACACAAGAGGGGATATAAGTAGAGAGGTGATGCTGAACCCCCTGGGGACAACGTGAGTGCTCTACCCCCAGGACTGCTTGGAAAGTTGCTCCAGCGCTGAGCAGAACTTCCTCAGGAGCTGGGGACATGCCAGCTCTCACATGAATCTGTGGCCCAAATTCATCCACATCACTAGGAGTACAGAGACAAGAAAGTTCAAGCCCTGACAGCTGGAGGCTCACCAGGAGGCACTCCCTTCCTCTGGGTCTCAAAAATGCCTCACCAGGATTTCCTTCAGTGAAATAAGCAATTCACAGCCAAAGGCCACCAAACACTCCGCAATCTGGAGGCTGTGCACACAGGGTGTCCCATGGCCTCAGATTTCTCACTTGTAGTTAGGGGCCTTATCCAAATGTTCCCGAGGCCTCTCCTGTGCGGGGACTCTGGAGGTACAAGCTAAGAGAATCCAAGGTGGGTTCCCATTGTGTATTCTGGGTATCTTTATGGCAAAGAGCTCGGGAGGGGGATATGTGTGGCTGGAAGGGCTGGAAGAGGCTACCAGGAAGCCGTTGCCTATTGCCCGCTTTGGGGAAGGGCAGAGTGGGAATGAGTTGGGAGTGGTGTCTGAGACTCAGACTGGGTCTTTGATCTGTGCGTTGCTAGGTGGGTGGTGGGCCTGTAATAGAGGCTACTGAGGGAAGAAGGCAGGGGACCCTGAGGGCAGCCTCAGCGTTGACCTACTTGGGCCCTTATAATTGCTCCCTTCCTCTCTCATGAGGCTACAAATAGGGACACCCCGTTGTTAGGCTCCCACAGCTGAGACAGCAGCAGCAGTGGTGAGTGTGGCTGGTTGGGAACTGCCTTGGGTTGGGTGTTGGGGCAGCTCAGGAACCCCTCAACAGCTAGCCTGTTCCTGCATACAGGGCCTGGGTATGGAAGCAGAAAGGTCACATTAGCAGGTGAGGGTAAGGAAAATCAGATATGGTGGACTCAGAGGTCCCCTTGAACACTAAGGAGCTGTAAGCTGTAAGGAAGTTTGGCCTGGGGAGTGTGCCCGGCCAAGATCTGAGCGATGCGGGGACAGTGGCCTGGCTATGGTTCTGGTGCAGCCCTTAAGTGAGCTCCTTGCCTCTTCGCTTCGTTCTTGGGGATGAGTTGGGACAGGCCAGGGCTTCTGAAATAATAGCAGAAGTGGCGCCAGGCAGGCTGGAAGGAGCTCAGAAGGGCTCCGAGGTGCTGAGCTCTTGGGATCATGGCTCTTTCCTCCATTGGGAATGTGGGTCCTTGTTCCGGCCCTGGGCTGTCATGAAGAAGTAGACACCACAATGCTTGCCACTTCAGCCCCCACCCCCTTACTTCCTTGCTGCCCCTTTGCTCCTAGCAGAGGGAACTTGCCAATAAGAGTCTTGGCTCTGGCTGCCCTGTACTGCAGGACTCCAGTCCCCTGAGGGAGTCAAGAGTGAGTCATGTACTCACATGGAAACAACTCTATTGCTTTCTTGCCTGCCCAGGGTTTGCCCAGGCTGGATGGGCAATGTAGGGGACAATAGATATGGGGTGAGGGAAGGAATTCTAGGAAGTACTTCCCTCCCATCAGTGTGGGGGACTCTTTTCAAAGCCTTCTGTCTTAAGATTACCTGCCCCCACTGCCAGGGGAATGGAGTATGGCAGGTCATAAACGAATAGATCTATGAGCCAATGAACTTCCCAGAGAACCCCTGGTCCACATTTCTGGCTAGGCCCATGAGGCTGGATTAAACCACTTTACAGAAAAAGACAACCGAGAACCAGAGAAACAGTTCACCCAGGGCTGCAGAGGGGGGAACCGCAGCTTCTTCAGGTCAGGGGAGGAGGCATAGTGAGGTGGCAGGGGACCTCCTCAAGCTGACCACTCCTGCTGGCATTAGCCTCGCCAGGGCAAAGATGCACCGGAAAGGGCTTCCTGATCCAGCTCTTACAGGATGGATCTCCAGGTCCTCAAGGGGCAGAGGCATCTAGGACCAGGGGCTGCATCACATGGCATGGTACCCAATGGGAGACTGAGAATTTCCAGGAGTGGGGGTGAGAAAGGACTGGAGGGAATCAGTGCTCTTAGGGAGACCCTCATTGAGGGATGAATGTGATGAGGTGGGGCATGCTATTCCCGGGGAATTTATGGCAGTGTTGTGGAAATGAAATGTCTGTCCAGACAAACCACAACAGGCACAATGGGGAGAATCGGTGTGTGTATGTATGGTATGTGTGTATGTAGTGTGTGTGTGTGTGTGTGTGTGTGTGTGTGTGTGAATGTGCATTTGTGTGAGTGTGTGTATGTGTGAATGTGTGTGTGTGTATGAGAGAGAGAGCATGTGTGTGCGTATGTGTGTGTGTGAGAGAGAGAGAGCATGTGTGTGTGTGTGTGTGTGTGTGTGTGTGTGTGTATGTGTGTGTGTGTGTAAAGCAGTTGTCAAGGAGGGCTGCTCAGAGGAAGGGGAACTTCAGCATGGCGGAGTTTGACAGGTTTGGAATTAGCTCCAAGGAAACACTGAGGGTGAAGACTGGCCTGACTTTCCTTGTGAATCACACCCATTTTTTGTGACAGTGAGGATGACCCGGCCCCTGGAGCAGGCAGTAGCTGCCATCGTGTGCACCTTCCAGGAGTATGCTGGGCGCTGTGGGGACAAGTACAAGATCTGTCAGTCAGAGCTCAAGGAGCTGCTGCAGAAAGAGCTGCCCACTTGGACCCCGGTGAGCACCCTCACACCTCTTCCCCTTAGTGGGAGGTACCACTTGGTCTCTGCAAAGAATGGCCTGGGACCAAACATCAGCACAGAACAGCAAGAGGGAGAAGCTGTACTGTGGAGAGGGGACACAAGGAAGTGAGCTGACATGGCTGGATGAGCCTTAGCAAAATGGGATGTAAAGTGGGGTGACAGTCACTCTTACTGTCCTGTGGATAATGCCTCTCAGCAGGCTCTGCAGAGCAAGGAGTCGGTGCTCAGCAAGTGAGCTGAGAAGCAGGGCTGGGAAATGGGTGTCTAATCAGGATGGGTAGGATGAGGTTGGCCCCCAGGAGGGTGTGGGTTGGAATCGGGGAGGACCACCCTCAGAGGGGAGTGGTGTGGGAAGCTGCTTAGGCGCCTCACCCCGGGTTTCCTGACTTTCCCTTCTCATCCCTTCCACAGAGTGAGTTCCGGGAGTGTGACTACAATAAATTCATGAGTGTTCTGGACACCAACAAGGACTGCGAGGTGGACTTTGGGGAGTACGTGCGTGCCCTTGCCAGCCTCTGCCTCTACTGCCACGAGTACTTCAAAGACTGCCCCCCTGAGCCCTCTTGTCCCCAGTAGCCTCTATCCAGAGGGGTATGCCATCCTGGAAGGGCAGGGTCTACTCTAGTCTCTGTCCCTGTGGTGACCCTGGATGTGTAGCCACACTCTTCCTGCCCTCTCTGTGGTAACCCTTTCAGTCTGGATTTGCCAGGTCCCTAATGTGCAACCCTGGCTTCTCATGCACTGTAGAGGCTTTCCTAGGGCTGTCGAGGTAGTGAGGGGTGGAACAGAAGCCAGCCTTTGCTTTTCTTCTTGGAAGGGAGAACATCTGCTCTCTCACTTTGGAGGCTCAGCCATGTGCCCACTGTGGCAGGGGCCTACTCAACTCCTAATAAAGAAATGTCAGCTTGGCTTGGCTTGGTTCTTTTGACAGGATGCACTGGACTTTGGGACTAAGTCTTTGGGGATCTTGATTCCTCTATCACTGAAGGAAGGAGGTTGAAGGCAGAGGCCCCAAAGGCAGTGCCAGACCACATAGGAATGCACACATCTTAGGGTTCAATAGGAGGGTGGGGCCATTACAAGCCCCCATCAGGTGAGGCTGGGGGGGTCTTTGTCTCCATCTGTCCCCTGTTTTGAGGTAAGAGCCCTTGTCTTGGGCTTTTAGGAGGGCAGGAGGCTCCTGGAGAGGAACTCAGTATTTGTGACTGGATGCTTCAAGGAGGGTGTGGCTGTGGGTAAGGGTGTGGTATAGCTGTGAGAGATCAGAGAGCAGCAGTAATAGGATTAGGGCCTCGGAGGTACTTGTTCCCAGCCAGGGAGGAAGGCTCTGTATTTATTGGAAGGGGGTGGGGATAATTTGAGTCAGTCCCCATCTGAAACCACAGTCCCCATGGGCTCCAAATCCCCATTACTAACCCTTGATCAATCCCCGTATTTGTACCCCATCCTCAGAGATTAATCCTGACTGCCTATTTTATGTATTTTTCCTCTAACTCTCTTCTCCAAGCTGAGTGTTCAACCCTGAATGCTCCCATCACCCCTGATACCCTAACTGGACCTTCTACCCATTCATGAACTTCCAGGCCTCACTCCATCACACCCTCCTAGGCATCTTTCCCACCTGGGGTGGTCCCAAGGCCCCTCCGGACTTGCCAGTCTTCACCCTGGGTCTTACCGATCATGACTGAGAGTTGTTAAGGCTGGAGAGAAGGGCTGACTGATTGTCTCCCTGGCTGGTGTCACCTCCCTAATTCCTGGGCCACACATTTCCAGGACAGTTTCCTACCTCTCACCCATCACCTCCCCATCTCCTTGCCCTTGGCCCACATCCCATGTTCAGGTTGCCCCTTCTCAAAGCTTCCTAAAACTTTGGCTGAGCTGTGGCTACTGGGTGGGATCTATATCATTCAGGTCTTGTGTCCACTGGGGCTTACTCACTGCTTGCCTGTGCCTGCTGGGTAACAGGAAGCTTGGTTCTCAGGCTGGGCTGGTGGAGGGGACTGTGACATTTACTACATCAACCAACAGTAGGAGCACAGTGTCCATGCTCCCCCCATCCCCTGCATGGGCAGGGCCCAGCAGCGTATAAATAGGGCAGACATTTGGGCTTTCCTCAAACCTCTCTGTTCAGCACTTCCTCTCTCTGGGTCTGGTGAGTTGTATTGGCCCTGATAGCAGTGTTGGTGGCAATGTCAGAGGCTGAAGCTGGGACAGGAGAAAGGGAGGCTGTTGGGGAGACAGATGTTTTTAATAGATCCAGATGAGAGATTCTGATGTGGAGGCTCGTGTGTGTGTGTGTGTGTGTGTGTGTGTGTGTGTGTGTGTGTGTGTGAGTGTATGTGTGTGTGTGTGTGTATGTTGCACAAGAATGAAAACAAAACACAAGGTGTATAGATGGCATTTGAGCTCTCAAGATTTCTAAGACGTTGAGGCTTACACTTGTTGTTACAGTGTATGTTTGTGATTGGGAGCCTTGGATAGGTACCCTGACTGGTGTTTGCTGGGTTATTCAAGCCGGTGTGTGCAGGAAGCAGGCGTAGGAAGCAAAGTGAGGGAACCTGTAGGCTTTCCTTCTTTCTTCCTTCCTTCCTTTCTTCCTTCCTTCCTTCCTCCTTCCCTCCCTCCCTCCCTTCCTTCCTTCCTTCCTCCCTTCCTTTCTTTCTTTTTTTACTTTTAAATTACAGTTATTTATTTGTGTGCATGCATGGGTTGGGAATGGGGGGACTCATGCCAAGGTGAGCTTGTGGAGGTCAGAGGGCAACTTGTGGGGAGTCAGTCTCTCTCCTTCTACCATGGGCTCTGGAGATCAAACTCAGGCCATTAAGCTTGGTGGCAAGCACCCCTACTCACGAACCCACCACTGCAGCTCCTGCCTGTATGTAGGCTTTTGTGTTCATATTAGTGCCCTATGCCATACAGCACCCCTCCCCTTGTGTCCCTGCCTCTGCCATCTCATCTCACTCCTCTCTAAGCTGGTCAATAGGCAGCGGGGGTTTTTTTCCGCGGAAGGCCCATGGGCAGGCAGCCAGCAGCCGCGCCCAGTGCCGGGAGGGGGAAGAATGGGTCAGAGCCTGGTGCTTGTGGTTGAGTTGTGGGAGTGAATGCGCTGAGCGAGAACGGAAAACTTCTATTATTGAGGCCAGGCCTGAGGGCGGACCCAAAAAGCAGTTGGCACGAATCTCCAGAGATTGTATGGTAGGCTCTGCATGTTTCAGAGTCCAAAGCATACAATGCCTTCTTGCCATTAGTGGGTCCCACTCCTCTGATCTCTCTGGGAATGAGGACAGTTTCTGGAAGCGCTCCCGAATGGAGCAATTAAAATGGGGTCAGGATGAGTCTATGACCTTGGTGATGAGTAGCACCACACAGCCAGTTCTTGATACACTATTGTTGTGGGGTGGGTAAGGCTACCTTTGTGTCTTCTGCCCCTAGGTCTCAACTGTCACCATGGAGTATCCCCTGGAACGGGCCCTTGATATGATGGTGTCCACCTTCCACAAATACTCAGGCAAAGAGGGTGATAAGTTCAAGCTCAACAAGTCTGAGATGAAGGAGCTGCTGACCAAGGAGCTGCCTAGCTTCCTGGGGGTGAGTGGGCCCTGCCCATGTATTTCATGTGTGCTGCATCCCCAGGAGGAGGAGGAGGAGGTTGGGACTCTGGTGGGCACTAGCCTTGACGTAGTGCCTAACTACAGCTGGCATGTATCTGTAAAGTGGGGAGGTAGAGGCTGGAAAGCTTGCTCCTGGTGCTTGGTGTGGAACCACAGTGAACCATCTACCCCTCACTAGCCCTCAGCTGAGAGAAAGTTTAGAGTGAACACAACCGAAGAGACAGAGAAAGATCAAAACAACTGCCTAAGACAGTCAGTGTCTGAAACTGCAGGCTAGATGAGGGCTGCTGGCAAGAGAAGTTGGGCTTCTGACATGATGGTAGAGGCACATGAATGCCTGCAGGCCCTCCCCGCAATAACGCCTTGCATTGGTTAATGCATCACTCTCATGGCTGTTTCCTAATGAGATACTTAAAGCAAGCATGGAGAAGATGTGGTCCTGCACTTTCCCAGCTATCTCAAGTGCACATCCTCGGCACATCCTCCTCTACGTAGCTTAGCCCCAAGGCTTCCTGAGTGGCCGGAGGCCTTCCTGAGCTCCTAGATGGAGGCAGAGATCTAGCTTGGGTTTGGCTTTTAACTGTTCCTCTTCTTCTTCCAGAAAAGGACAGATGAAGCAGGATTCCAGAAACTGATGAGTAACCTGGACAGCAATAGGGATAATGAAGTAGACTTCCAGGAGTACTGTGTCTTCCTGTCCTGCATTGCCATGATGTGCAATGAATTCTTTGAAGGCTGCCCAGATAAACAGCCCCGGAAGAAGTGAAGACTCCTCAGATGAAGTGTGGGGGTGTGGCCTGCCAGGGGGTCTCTTCCCTGTTAGCTTTGAGCATAGTGCCTTACTCTGGCTTCTTCATACACATGCACAATGCCGAGAAAGTTCAATAAAGAATCTTGAAACTATGAGCTGTTGTCTAAAAGACTGGAGATTGTGGGTTGGAGGTTGAGGGAGGGTATATCACAGGGTAGTGGTGGGGACTGCTGGGAGTTGAGCTGGAGCCTTGTGGGGACAAAACTAGAAAGGGGTGTGGAGGGGGTAGAGTGGCCTATTTACGGAGCATGCAAGTGTGTGTGTGTGTGTGTGTGTGTGCATGCACACACATATGTGCAACAAAGCAAACTCTGGGAACACTTAACATAGAAGCCACCAGAGGCTTGGCTTGAAAGGCTCCAGATGTGGGAAGTTAGCCAGCCCACCACCCTCCTTCCTCTCTCCAGAACTGCCTCTGGGCTCAAACTGAAGTTGGGATGGGACTGAAGGTCACATCTGTTGCTGCTTGGAGTCTGGAGGGAAGACAACAGGCCTGAGTCACAAGGAAGGAGTCCTGAAGCCAGAGAAGGATGGAGAGGTGGACTGGTACCCATCCCTGACATTTATAGTCCAGGTCCTGCCCTGCTACCCATTCCAGCTCATTGGCTTCAAACAACAGATTAACCCTTTCCTGTCCATGGCTGGTGAAGAAGGGCAGTATAGAGAGGTCATTTGTGGGAGCGTAAGTCTCTCTCTATGTCTGTCTCTCTTTCCTTCTCTCTCTTGGAGAAGAGGCTTCACTCCTATAGCCAAATGTAGCCTTGAACTTCTGATCCTCCTAGTCAACTTCCCGAGTTCTGGGATTATAGAAGTATACTACCATGGCTGACTGACATAGCCATTCTCTTAACATACTGTCTCCACCCTCAGAGGGCTGTGGGACAGGATCTACTATTTCTAAGAATCATGTTGCTTAGAGGAGGACAAAGGACCTCAGGACCAATAAATGGGGGTGGATAGTTGCTAGGTGATAGAAGCAGATGATGGGGAGATGACCACAGTTTTAGAGAAATGATTTTGGCCATGTGATCTGATAAAGAAAATTGAGATCTTCATCCCCTCACTCTCTCACCTCTAGAACATGAGGCAAATGTAGCTGCCCCTTAGGGTGGGCAGTGGTTCTGGAGTGCCGAGAATGGGGTTGAGGTTAGATGTCAAGCCCTTGCCTGGGTGGTATGGGGATGCTTAAAGAAAGGTATCCACAAGCTGTCCCAAGTCTGGCGAGTTTGTTTTCTAAGCGTCCCTTCTCATCATATTGTGCTTTCTCTCCAGCCTCAGGGGAGTGGGGTAGGTGACTCAGATGTTCCCTTGGAGTTTGACTATGGAGACTTAGGTCCAGGTTAAGACTATCTTCTCTTTTTTTTGCACTCCCAGTCAATCTGCCTATCTTCCACGGCAGTGTGCTCCCAGGAGCCTCCTCCTGCATCACTCTACTTTCGGAAACTCCGGTTGCTTAGAGACAAGTTTCCGCTGTGTCACTAGTATAATAGCTGCGGTGGGATGACAAAGGGGGCAGTGGAGAGGAACGAGGCAGGCTAGGGTGGGATTTTAGCCAAGATTAGGGGCTGGCCCCTAACCAAATTCTGTCCTTAGAGTCAGTGTGAGTGTTCCAGAGTGCAGGAAACTCACCTTGACCCCTGGGCCATCCATGCATGACTGTTCCTGAAACTGGAACCTCTTCCACAGTCCACAGCCTCAACCCAGTCCTAAGCCCTCCTTTGATGGTCTTCCCCAACCCTGGATTTCTAGTCCTCCAAGCCAGGTGTCTCCAACAACTACTTCCCTTCTTTACTTTGTGTTAGCTAGTGACTTTAGCTTGGCAGGAAATATCTTCCTTCACTGATCCCATCCCAAGATGGATCCTTGTGGGCTTGGAATTGATGCAAGGATGGAGGGCTTCAATGTGGAGAGTAGTCTAGGATATGGGGGCAGATATATATACCCTGTGTTTGGTCCACACTTTCTACTGTTTCTTTCCTGGAGAGCCCAACTTGCCTTTTTCAACCTATTACTTCACCAGATGTGAGGTTTGGTAGGAAAAACGGGTCCTGGTATTGAAAATGTGTATGTCGTGCTGGGCTTCATGTGCCACCTCCAGTTCTGCTTGTAAACAGCAAGTGACAGTTTCCAGAGAGGGTTCACGTCAACTTTTTCTGGATTCCTCATATCTCTGATCCCTTCTCGTTGGCCCCACCCCTCCTGATTCTCCTGGGCCTTGGGGATGAGGGAATAAAAGCAGAGAGTACTGGTAGGGAGGCTGACTGCAGCCTAGATTCTCCAGGTTTACTTCTTCCTTGGTGAGTCCTTCCTTCTGGATGACCTTCATTTCTGCTGGGCCAGCCTGGCTGAGGATAGTGTGACAAGACATGGAAACCTCTGCAAGGAAGGCCTGGCCTTGCAAGTGGGAGCATGCTTAGGGAGGAGGGGGTAGTGTGTTTGTAATTGTGACTAAGGATTTCCTGAGAATCCAACTCTACGAGCAAGACAGCTGAGGCAGGAGGATCATGAGTTTGAGGGTAGTCATCTTAGGATTCATGGTGAGATACTGTCTCAGGGAGAGAGAAGGGGAGGAGGAGAGAGGAAGGTGGGGAAGAGAGCCGGCTCACAGAGTCAGCAGGATTTTCCTACAAATGCTTAGAGTTCCTTCCTTGCCTTGAACTGTGGTCTGACTGAGCCTCCATGAGAGGCTCATGGAGAGAGAAGCTGATGGTATGGGTGGCGGGAAATGAATGATGGGTTCAGTCCAGCTCAGGAACTTCTTGGGTTGGAGGTAGGAGTTGGCACTTTCTCCCCAGGGTTCTCCACCGGATCTACAGAAGCCTCCAGTTCTGCGGCCATTGTTTCCTTCCTCTTGAAGAGGAAGTGGTTTTTAAACAGGAGCCCCACAAGCTTCAGCTGTCTGTTCTTTTTGAGAAGTGACTAAGCTGACTGAACTGAAACCATTATTCAAACCCAACCTATAGAGCCGTATTTCATAAGGTCCTGGCCATGTCGATACCCACCCGTCCCTGCCCCTGTCAGGCTGTACATAAAGCTCTCTGGGCATCAGACTGGAGGTCACTGGGCAAGTCCAGTCACCTCTCTCCTGCTTCCTGCTGGGATCTTATCTCCCAGTTTCAGCACCAACCCCCTCTGACCCCTGGACTCCTTTTTTTCCCCCCTCCACCCCCCTCCCCCAGTGAGACACTCCTTCATTTCCAGTGACTCAGCGACTGGAGAAAGGAGGGTGATTAGGTGGGAACTATGGCTGGAAAGCCAGAGCCTAAACTGCATGGGGAAGAGAACAACAGTTCTTTGGAAGAGGCGGTCCTGTACCCTCTTTGTTCCTGGACCTCTCTGTCAGCACCTCTGGATCAGGGAAGCCCGCAGCCTTCTTTGGGGGCTGGGCATCCTCACTGCTTTGGCTGTGCCAGTATGTTTGTCATGGCTCTCATTACAACCTGTCTGTATATACGGGGAACTTCTTGTTGGAGGAATCTGGCCTCACTGTGGGCTGCTGGCAATGGTGGTTTGGGAATGACTGGTGAGGAGCAAGTCTAGCTTCTCCAGTGCTGTGATTGTCTCCTCTCCCACTCCAGAGTGCACGTGGTGATGGAGACTCCTCTTGAGAAGGCCCTGACCACCATGGTCACCACTTTCCATAAATACTCAGGGAGAGAGGGCAGCAAGCTGACCCTGAGTAGGAAAGAACTGAAGGAGTTGATCAAGACAGAATTGAGCCTTGCAGAGGTAGGTGGCCATTCTCTCGTAGCCCACTACACATTCTGAGCACCCCTTCTGGGAAATGCCCACATACTTGTAGGGTACTCTAGCCGAAGCAAGGAACAGGATGGCTGAAGGGCCAGAGACAGCGGAAATGGTTGGCATCTCTGGCTACCACGGCTCTAAGCCTCTGTGCTGGGGGATGGATCAGTCACTGGAAAGGAGGTGAGGCTGGGGTGCATGACTGCCCATGGGAGGCTATGGGGTCACATAAGGGAGATTTTGATGATGGGTTGCATAGCCTGTGTTAGGGATCTTGAGGGTTTGAGGGATGTGAGGTACCGGGTTTGGCTGTGTACAACTCAAGGATAGGGATTCTTCTTGATTCTCCTCTGTGCCTGGCACAGCCAAGGTGTTAAGTGATGTTGTCAAGTAAACCACATGGGGTAGGAAGGAGAGAGCGTTGATTCTGATTAGATGGCTAACTCGAAAATCTATGAGCGAGAGTAATAGAGCCTCAAATGCATCAGAGAACGTGCCCATTGAGACCGGGCTGGAATTCCAGGCTAGGTCTCTGCGCCAACCTCCTATTTATCTTTATAGTAAAGTCCCAAATGCCACTGTTCCCCCAGGGAGAGGGCTCCTGGAATATGTCCATGGGCAGGGGTGGCGCAGGTACCACTGTTCTCAGGTCTCTCTGTGGCTTCCCCAAGGCATGTGGCATTCACCATGCCATACACACTTCCTTTCACTTCTTTTTCTTTTTGAGACAAAGTTTCTCTGTGTGGCCTAGGTTGTCCTGGAACTCGCTCTGTAGTTCCTGACCAGTCTGGCCTCCAATTCACAGAGATCCACCTGCCTCCATTTCCTGAGTGCCACCATGTCTGGCCTGGCATACACATATTCAATACCAGGAACCACTCTGCCATCCTGGAACTAATGAAGGTAGAGGGACCCCTGGTCCATCAGGTGCTAATTACTGGGGGACAGAGCTCCAGGGGAGGAGCCTCGTCTGGGGACCAGGATCATGTCACAGAGAGGCAGTTTCCAGCATCCTGGGTATCAACATCCTGTATCCAAGGGAGACTTGGGACTGATTTCCATAGAGGGAGAGCAGGGTCTGCCTGCTTGTATTTTCTTGCTCCACCCTAGGGCTCTGTCTTCAACTTCCTAGAGGAGCCAGGGTACAGGGACCAAACTGAGAGTACATCTGGTGCCAGGCTGAGGCTGAGGGCATTCTCAGCGCCAGTGTACTGGTCTTCCAGAGAAGTATGTACTGATGTCTGAGTCCTTTTCCAGTTTGGTCTTATAATACGGGCACATTATGTCTGGGACTTGGATGATGCTCAGAACTACAGAGCCAGGACTCAAGCTGTTTTTAGTAGTTACTGGTATAAATTGTAGATTATAATTTCTTTGCATGGGAGGATGTCCCAGGAGCAAAGGCTAGACCAGCCTTCCTCCTGTAATTCATTTGGAATCAGCACTCAGGTCATGGACCCCATTTGATGTCTGGTCCTGTGTAAAGGTGAGGGTTGGGGCTGACTTGCTGAGCAGTCTCCTCCCCCTGGGCTCTTGCAGAAGATGAAGGAGAGCAGCATTGACAACTTGATGAAGAGCCTGGACAAGAACAGCGACCAGGAGATCGACTTCAAGGAGTACTCCGTGTTCCTGACCACACTGTGCATGGCCTACAATGATTTCTTCCTAGAGGACAACAAATAGCCAGGGTCCTCTCTACCCACACCTGCAGCTCCTGGTCCGGCATGCCCCCTGCAGCCTCTTTAACTGCTTCTCTTATGCTCCTGGCCCTTCTCTTTCTCATAGATGGACTCTTCCAGTAGAGAAATAAAGCCTTTCCCCCCTTTCCATGTGCTGTTTTTGCAGTGGTTTGTCTCCATTGGCTGAGTCAGGGGAGAACAAACATTTTGAGCCATTCAGCCTCAGGTCACACACAGGAGGCCTGTGGGTTCAGGGGGTGGGCTTTCACCCCACTCCACTGGCTGTCTGTTGAATGTGTCCTGGCTTTGTTCTGCAATGTAAAACAACAAAGCTGGTCCAGGCATTTGCATGCTTCCCCTGGCGGCAAAGATGCAGAGGAAACAGTGAGAAAAAGCATATTGGGAGTGAGGAGGCTGGGGTGATGGCCTGTGGCTTCCTAATGCAGTGATGCTCAGTGGGTCTCACTTGGGGCACAGCCCACAGCAGGCGACTCTGGCAGCCCTAGTGAAAAGGAAAGGCACATTTTAGCCCCCTCTCCACTGAGTGATTCCAGGAGGCTAATTCTTCCTCCCCCAACTTCCTCTTCTCAAGACTTTTTCTTCAGGAGAAAACATCCAAAACTTTTCACTTGAGATGATAACTAAGCGTGCTGGCTGGGCTGGGCTCCATTATGTGCACATTAATGCATAAGCTGCTCTAAAGATGAACTCCCAGGCAGTGAGCTGGAGGAAGCGAGTGATGGCGTTAGACAGAAATTTACTGTTGGTGGGGGATGGTGTCTGAAATCCTTTGTCCTGCTCCCTTTTTTGACAGGGTTTTATATAGCCCAGGTTGACTCAAAATTCTGCATCGTGGGAGCAACCTACTGAGCTATATCTCCAAGTCTTAAACTAGCGAGGTCGAACCACCCTTTCAGAGGGGTTGCCTAATATCATCGGAAAACACAGATGTTTACACTGCGATTCATAACAGTAGCAACATTACGGTGTGAAGCAGCAACGAAAATAACCTTAGGATTGGGGGGGGGTCACCACAACATGAGGAACGGTATTCAAGGGTCGCAGAACAGAATTAGGAAGGTTGAGAAGTATTGTCATAGATCACTAGCTGCTTGCCCTCCTTCACCTGGAGCTGACCTTGCCACCAGAGGGCGACAGTATCAGTGAGGTTCTCACTCCCCCTCACATTGATGCTGACTTTAGGGACACGTTGTGCTCTGGTTGGCAAATGGCCCAGCACACAATCCGGAGTCACGAGTCACGTGCCAGAAGTGCAAACTGAAGTATGGAAATTAGGAAAAACTCGATGTCTCCGGTTTGCTCTGGTCTCCTAGACCAGGGTCACTAGGCTCCCTCATGCCGCTCCCAATCCGGGACAGTCCTGGCAGCAGAGGCGTGGAAAACTGAGGGTTGTTGGGGGGGGGGGAGTGTTTTGCTAGCCTCAGGCGCCGGGTGGGGCTCGGGGGCGGGCCGACACTCCTTGGGCGGGCCTCCCGAATGCTGGCCGCTATAAGGCCAGCCGGACTGCGACACAGTCCATCCCCCTCGACCACTCCTTTGGCTCTTCGCTGTCTACGGTGCGGTGAGCTCTTGCTGGGGCAGCCCTAGGTCTCTCTAGGGTGGGCTCCTGGGCTGGGGGGTCAAGCCATTTCCTGCCCTAGTCAGCCTCCGCGGGCCTCCGCGGGTGGTCTGCACTGGGATCTAAGTTTGCCCAGCACCGGGATGGGAAGGGGAGGTAGGGAGAGCCAAGATCAGCTGGGTTGTGCCAGGCAAGCCCGAGGCTAAGGCATCCCTGTGGGGCGGCTCCCCGAATCTGCTTTTCTGGGGTGCGGGAGGGTTTGCCCTGGGTGTGTCATTGTCCCAGTGTGTGGTCCTGTCAGGAAGTGCCCAGGAGCAGCCTCCATCCCATCCTCTGCTCAGTCATATTCCCCAGCTCTCTTGGAATCCCTGGAGGACAATGTTCAGACATCCCAAAGCTGGTTCTGTTCGTACATCCCAAACCCCAGTTGCCCTGTGCTGTCATCGGTGTTGGCTTGAGGCTAGCTGGTTCAGACAAGTCGTCACCTGGCTTAGAGAATGATGAGAGAAGTCTTTGTTACCAGTAGCACTGACTAGCCCCTCTGTCAAACAGCTTCTAGCCCAGTGGTCAATTATGGCATGCCCCCTGGATCAGGCCATTGGCCTTCTCGTGGCCATCTTCCACAAGTACTCTGGCAAAGAGGGCGACAAGCACACCTTGAGCAAGAAGGAGCTGAAGGAGCTGATCCAGAAGGAGCTCACCATTGGCTCTGTAAGTAGCCCCTGCCCAGTTTCCCCCTCCCATCTCTGCCCATCTGAGCAGCATTTACTCTTAGTTCCTGATCTTCCGTTGGAAACACGCTTGTATACTCCCAGCCTGCTGAGGGAGGAGCAGGGGCTGAGGAGAAGTAAATCAAGGTAAACCCAAGCTGAAGGCCTATCCTTGGTGACAAATGAGCAGAGACACTTAACATGAGCAAGGACTTCCAGGGAAGGGGTAAAGAATCTAGAGTACTGGCCACCACTGAACGTGGACGTCTCCTTCTAATGTATTAGAAACTGCAGGATGCTGAGATTGCAAGGCTGATGGATGACCTGGACCGCAACAAGGATCAGGAAGTAAACTTCCAGGAGTATGTCGCCTTCCTGGGCGCCTTGGCTTTGATCTACAACGAAGCTCTCAAATAAAATGGGAAGGTAGAGATGCCCTTTGGTGGCCTATCTCAGCCAAATCCAGTGGTGGGTAATTGTACAATAAATACTTTGTTTTTGTTACATCTACTCATGTACTCTGGCTCCCCACTGATTTCTAGTTGCTTTCTGGCTTGCTGCTGAACTCACCGTCTTAGTCACAGTTAATCTCTGAGAGTAGCTCATTGACCAACCCAGATAAGGTCTGCTAGCTCACTAGGAGTCTTTACAAGCATTGGAAAAGGTTTCCCCTCTAGGCAAAGCCACCTTCAACAAAGGCTCAAGTGATCTATCTCCAGGAGGATATGGAGTGTGACGTAGAGTTAGGGGCCACTAGAAGCAGGGCAGTAATACTCCCACTTGTCTTCTGGAAGTCGAGCTTTGGTCTGGGTGTGGTGAGAGGGGAAGTATTACTAGACCGGCCCTGTCATTGAGCAATCTGCCTTTTCACTGTGTGGGAAGGGCACATCTGAGATGCCTGAAGTGACCAAGGACACAGACAACTGAGTTTTCTGCAGCTGCCTTGGAGATGGGGTGCACTTTAGGAGTCTGTCCCTACTTTCACTATGGGGCACTTTTTGTTGGGGTGGTGACCTGAGCAGCTAGCTGGTGGCTCTGTGAACATGTGACACATGAGGTGCTCACAAACAGGGCAGAGTTGGGGTCCTTAGACATGCCAAATGCAGCTTCAGGCCTTTCTGTCAATATTGACCCAGCCCGTCCCTGCAGAATGACTCACAGGGCTACTCCCGTGGAACCCAGCTGAACCCTCAGTCCCTATCAGAGTAGATGGCCAACTGAGTTACTGTCTGTGTGTACATTAAGACTTAAATCATAGGCGTGGGGAAAAGCTGTGATGTGTCTGGGTGTCACGGAGACAGCATTTGCGGATATTCCTTCCCGGAAGGCCTAATCCAAGTTGGGCAACACCTTGGCCAAAACCTGAGGGGAAAAGATTTTGACTTCATGTGGAGATCATAGCCCTTTTCTCTTATTTCCCTACCTTCTCCAGTTAACCTCTTGGCATTGAGTGGGACTTCCCTTGCATTGGGTGGGGGTTAGTAAACAGCAGCAATGACATTTCTTGAAAACCTTCTTTCTCTAGTAGCCTCCTGGTCTCACTGCACCGTTGTTCAGGGAGAGGGTCCCCGAGCCGACCTCCCCCTATGCTGCGCAGTGTTGGCTCTGCTCAGTGGCTCTGGAAAAGTATGCTTTCGGTCCTGGCCCACACCCAGTTGTTGACTCTTTGGGGTGCAAAGAGATCGCCCTCTTGTGGACAGAGAGCAGGTTGCTGAAAGGGAAACGGGTTGGGGGTGTGGGGTTGGGAGGTGGGGCCGGGAAGGGGGAAAAGGATCTTGTTAGAGAGCTGGAGGAAAGTCTAGTTGGCTTTTTGAGTTCCTGATGAAGGGGCAACAGCGATGAAGCCGGGGGTGTGGGGGTGGGAGTTAAATTTTAGGAAGGGAAGGGAGAAAGAATTAGGTAGCTATTCAGGGAATGTCCCGGTGGAGGCATGGCTCAATCGATTCGATTTCATCGGAGGCACATTTGTTAAGAGCAAGTCAAGGGAGGGAAGTTTTCTGTAAAACGAGGGGAATCCTAGCCCTTTCCCCTAGATTCCTTTCCAGGGTTAGAAGATCGAGGTTCTTGGAGTATGAGGAGGAGTTGATTGGGGTGCAGAGGCTGGTGGTGGAAAGAGAGGTTTGGTCCTTCAGGCAGGCTCTGGTGTGTATGTGTGTGTGTGTGTATATGTGTGTGTGTGGGTGGGTGGGTGGGGGATCCAAAGAAGAGAGGAGCGGAAGGTTCATCTGCTAAACAAAACTTCACCTCCCTGAGTGTAGTGGCTCACTTCTCAGGAGACAGAGACAGATGGATCGCTGTTGAGGGGTAGCCTGGTCTACATAGCTAATTGCAGGCCAGTCAGGGCTGCATAGTGAGACCCAATCTTAATGAAACAGACAAACAAACAAACAAAAAACAAAACAAAAAGGGGGGGGAGTAGGCTTAAAGACACCAAAACAAATGGCAAAACTTTTGTCTGCATTGGGAACATGGTTTAAAATTGAGAAGAGGAGAGGCATTTATTTACACAGGAACTTTTGGTAGGTGCAGCAGGCAGGGCATAGAGTTGGGTGTGGTCAGGTGCAGACTGACTATTTTCATTTGTTCAGAGGATTTCAAGTTGGCTCTTGAGCATGGTCTAGGTTCCGAGGAGGGGGCTGGGGACTTGGCAGCAGATTCCTTCCTCTCCTTGGGCATCTGCCACCTATTCAGGCTGGTCAGAGGGAGTGGCCCTGCTACCCCTCTTCCCGTAGTAGAGGCTCTGTTTTTCCCTTCCCCTGCATACTTGGCAGTAATCCCATAATCTAGTCACCCTTACACCCACGATGCTGGAACAGCAGCATCTGCTTCCATAAAGTGGTCAACCCCCAGGTAGGGGGTTGGGGTGAGCCTGACTCAGGATGCATTATCGGTCCTCTGCCAAGCACATAGCTAACTGAAGAAGGAAGCTGTGTCCCACAGCTCTTGCATTTGTACAAGGTGTCATGTCTCTATACCTACTGTGGCCTCATCTCCAGAATTATGTCTACTGTATGTTACTAACCCCATTCAAATGAAAGGATAGAGTTGCAGGACCCTTCCCAAGGTGGGGCAGTAGGAGTTCTGAGAGGGACTAAGCTCTCTTGACCCCAGGCCAGCTCATCCTCCAGTTTCTCTGCTGTTTCCAGATTTAATTTCAATATTCCTTCTTCATATGTTTCTCTTAAATATTTTAATTAAATATAAAGAATATATGAACAGCTTATAGATGACACCTAAAATATAGACACTGAAACACAAAACACCCAGTTTAAGAAACAAACATTTGGCTGAAACGGCTCAGTGGGTAAAGTCATTTGCTGTCTAGCCTGCTGACCTTCCACATGGTGGAAGGAGACTGAACACATGCATGTGCACATATAAACAAATAAATGTAAAATAATAATAATAATAATAATAATAATAATAATAAATACTCATCATCATCATCAAGCATGAAGAGATAGCTCAGCAGAGGTCTGGGACTGGGTTCCCAGCACTGAAGTAGGGCAGCTGGCATCAGCCTGAACTTCCAGATCCAAGGGATCTGATGCCCTCTTCTGGCCACAGCATGCATGTGCACTCAATAGCACATTTCCCCCCTGCAACACGTATACACATCTAATTAAAAACTAAACTTAAATCTTTAAAAGAAAGAAACACTGAAGCAGATATAGAGTTTGGTTAATTTGTTAGAGGGAGTGGCTCAAAGAGCCAGAGAGACCCAGTTTGTGCACTGGTTCATTAGGGATATACGAAAGGAAGGAGAACAATAGCTGGATGGAAAAGATGCCCCAGGCCAGGCATGTGAGGTGGGATAAAGCATGCTCCTGCCCTCTTTGGGTGCTCTACACTCAAGGACCTCTATGTATTCAGCTATCTGAGCACTCTTATTTGTTTTATTTTATTCAAGGTCTTGTATAACCCCAGAAGCCCTTGGCCTTGCTAATTTTTTGACTCTGGCTCTGCTTTGAATTCCCCATTCTCTTCCCTCTCCCTTCCAAGTATTGGAATTACAGGTTCATGTCACCATACCCAGCTTGAGCCTGATCCCTTTAGGTTATTTATAGAAGCTTTACTAGGAAGCATGATTGATTACATCCCTAGCCACTGACCAAGTTTGCCTTCAGTCCTGGAGGGTGACAGGTGGGGAGGAAAGTGTCAATCATCTAACATCTGGGTCTAGTTAGGGTTACTATTGCTATGATAAAATACCATGACCAAAAGCAAGTTGGGGAGGAAAAGGTTTATTTGTCTTATACGTCCACATATTAGTCCATTACTGAAGCCAGGCAAGGAACAAAAACAGGGTAGGAACCTGGAGGCAGGAGCTGATGCAGAGACTATGGAGAGGTGCTTCTTACTATCTTGCTCCTCATGGCTTGCTCAGCCTGCTTTCTTATAGAACCCAGGACCACCAGCCCAGGGATGCCCTGACCACAATAGACTGGGCCTTCCCCACTGATCACTAATTAAGAAAACACCTTGCAGGCTTGGCTATAGCTTTTTTTTTTTTTTTTTTTTTTTTTCAGGGTTTTTCTGTGTAACATCTGTGGCTATCCTAGAACGAGCTCTGTAAACCAGGCTGGCCTTGAACTCCTGAGTGCTGGGATTAAAGGCATGTAGCACCACTATTGCTCAGTCTTATGAAGGCATTTTTCAATTGAGGTTCCCTTCTCTCAGATGACTCTAGCTTGTGTCAAGTTTGACATAAAACACTTTCTTATCACTCTGTAGATTCCAAGGGTTCCAGAAACTGTGTGTCTGGAATGAGAGGAAGACCATACATATATTTCACAATGTCACAGTCTGTCTGCTTCTGACTTCCTTTTCCTTTTCCCCAGCTGATCCATTTCAATGCCAATACAATGCATCCTGGTATAGCTTACAATAATGTTTGAGATCCACTAAAGCAAATTGCCCACTTGTTCTTCTTTTGAAAGACATTTTATCTATTATTGGCTTCTGCTTTATGACATACACTTTAGGGGACTGGAGAGATGGTTAAGAGCACTTACTTGCTGTTCTTACAGTAGACCTGGGTTATGTTCTGAGGACTAACATGGTAGCTCACAAAGGCCTGAAACTCCAGTTCCAGGAGGAGCTGATGCCATCTTCTGGCCTTTGTGGGCACTGCATGCATGTGGTGCACTTACACACATGCCAGTAATATACATAATATAAAAATGAATAAGCCAGGCATGGTGACACAGGCCTTTAATCTAGTACTCGGGAGGTAGTGGCAGGCAGATCTTTATGAGTTCTAGGTTAGCTGAGCCTACACAGGGAGACCCTGTCTCAAAACAAAATAAAACAAAACCCAAACAAACACCTCCCTGAAGAAATAACTATGAAACATATATATGTCTATATGTATGTATGTATGTATTTCAGTGTCAGATGTTCAAATTTTAAAATTTTGATTGACATTGTGTTGATTCTGTAGTGCAAATTTTGGAGAATATTGACTCTTCAAACCCATGAGCATGATTTAATCTCTTTTCTGTTTATTT